ATTGACATGTTTTAAATATCCTTTTGGACAACAGAGGTTTTGTGGAAAAGAGCAATACGATACAATAGGCTTTGGCCTACAGGGCAGAAAGATTCAATTAATTTCTTTGGTCTTTTTATGGGATTTCAAGAGATATTTCACATTGCATAATTACATTTTTTTCTAATTCAACACTCATCAGCAGCTACTTAACAGGCACTACACACACTTTACACTACAGCCTCAGTTGAGAGCGTCAGAAGTTTGTTTCAAAATAAAGGAGGACAGTCTGCAGAGCATGAAACCTCTCAGTCTCCCTGGCAACAGAACCAGAGATTCCTTCTCCACATACAAACAAAAATAATGTGAGCACACAGTCACACTCACTCACACACACACGGTTCAACCCTCTCACAATCTGAGGTGTGAGATTAAGTGAGAAGTATTTACTTCCCACCTGACAAGAAAACAAGTGGCTGGAGAGTTAAAAAGTGTTTCATTTGCTGAAGTTGTTGGGTTAACTGTGATACAATGGTCGCAGCACACTCCTGTTTAATCAAATTATGATTTGCAGATTTTTGTAACATGGAAAATAATATCAGCACACATTTCTTGGCACGTTGTCAAGCTGCCGATACATCTTGTTCAGATTTCTGTACAATCATTGTTATGTAGTGTGAAATGTCTCTGGTGGTTGTGTGATGAATATTAAACGATAACAATTGTTTTTTATAATTCAGATTTCACACTGTGTCCTAAATACAATGGCAGAAAATGATCTGTGATATGATTTGCAGAGGAGTGATTGATAAGAAAAACCAGTAAAAAGTTTTTATGTAAAGTAGTTCAAAATGGTTCCATGTTTAATTATCCAAGTTGTAGCAAAGAAACAAATGTGGGTAAAATAAATAGTTTAACTGATCTCATGGTCTATCTCTTGAGAGTTGAAAGAGGAAAAAATAGACCTGACCTGTGTCTCTGAAATTGGGTCATGTGGTAGCTGTCGGAGGTAAGGCTAATCGGATTATGATGTGTTAGTTAGCACCAGGATAAAAAGTTAGACCTATAAAGGGATGCCTTTGACATGATCATAAACGTTGCCCTCCGTCAAATAGATCCAGTTTGTGAGCCCAGAAGATCAGGAAGTCTCCCAGATGGCTAATGTGAGCCTCTTACTGCTCACATCAGATGAGTCAGTCAGTCCTCCTACATCATTTGTTTTTGTTTATCAGTCAATGTTAGTCCACATCCAACCATCTATGACCTTTTCAACAGCACGTTATAAATAAATGTACATAAAGACAGTATTATATATGTGTTAATGCCTTGAACTGATCTTTTTGATATTATTCAATCCGCCAAGAAGGTTTGTAGGTATGTTTTTACTTTGTTGGTTAGTCGGTTAGTTTGCTGTCAGAAGTATTATGGGAAAACAACATGCCTGATTTGAATGAAACTTGGTTAAAGGTTGCAGCATGGGCCAAGGAAGAACCCATTACATTCTGGAGCAGATCCAAATAACACACACTAATTATTTTTCAGTTAAGATAACAGCCTTTGCGATCTCTATGTTCCCTTCTAGCTAGCCTTTTTTACTTGAAATTGATTATATTGCTGGCCAAATGGTGAAGGCAAATGTCCCAGTAGCAACCCTACCTATAAGGATTGTTATCTTTATGTCAATTTGATCCTGCCAAACGTTGGGAGCCCAGATGATCAATTCAAATGGCTTTAGTGATTTTCTGACTCTTCCTTTAATGCCACCATTCAGATTGTTGCTTTTACGATCAACTTTCTTATCAACTATTGAATGGATTGCCTTTCATCTAGTGAAAGAAAGACCAGAAGCAACATAGTCTTTTCCTGCTCCCTGCTCTCCAGAGTTCATTCTGTTCAACTCTGTGTCAGTTCGATGTGAAATAGACTCGGTGAGCTGTGAAAACACGCCTCCCTGGACACACATCACACAGGAGAAACGCGGCTCCTCACCCTTCTTACTCACTCTTTCTTTCTGCCTTTTTTTTCCTATAGTTGAAATTCATATTGAGCAAATATTTTTTCATTCCTTGGATTCCAATGTGTGAGCTACTGAGTGAGCAACGAGGGTGGGTAGTGCTAGTGTGGTCGTCCAGTACTCATTTATGTGTGTGAGAGGATAATGCTTATCACAGTTCCTTCTACTGACCATTAGAGATTCACAGAGTAATCAGGCCGTTTTCTATTTAAAGGTGTTTTGATGAAAATGCAAAGCTGAATCCCATCCAATCTGTGCACCATTGTTGAGTCAAATCATTCCTTCAGCAACTTGACATTTAATTAATTTGTTTGTGTGTAATCAGTGTTTCTTGTGTCTTTTTCATGGATGTGGATACATTGGTGCCCAATATGTGCAGGGGCCCATTAGGCCCTGGTTGGGGATTAGAAACATCGTAAAAATATGTGAGGGTGGCTGCGGTGGTATCTTTTTTGTCCACTTGTTCTAAAGAAGAACATGGCAGCTGACTGGCCCATGTAAGTACAAATGTGTGTATTTGCCAAGTACAGTGAGGCTTTGTTATAATCAACCTGGGTTGTGTTATCACTCTTCTTTCCTTGAGGGAGAAAACAGCTGGCAGAAAACACTGTGAACTTTTCTTGTCGCCTCTGTTTTGGTTTCAATTTCACAATCCAATAAATAATTTGTTTGTGTCTGAAACACAAAGACAAGACAGTTCAGAACTAGAGTAGCTGTTGCAGTTATCTTCCTTTCGTCACTGGGAGCCTGGGATCAAGTTAAGACCAGTTTTACAAACCCATACTGAAAAAGTCTTTACTAACGCTTTGTTTGCTTTGTTGTCTATCTGTCTGTTTACGGAGAAACGACTGCCACAATTTTCATGGAACTTGGTGGAAAGGTTTAGAATGGGCTCAATACCGTTTAATTTTGGAGCAGATCCGAAGGCCAATACTCTTTATTTTTCTGCTTTCTTTAAGATTGTGCGATAGAGCATTTGGCCTTGGGGGAGGTCGAGGCACCCTGAGTGCCCTCGAATCATGGCCAGTCAATAGATACGAAAAAACAATTGATTAATGCTTACATAAGAACACATCATTTCAAAAAGTGTAAAGATAAAATAAAGTCCTTAGTTTAGTTTAAAGGGGACCTATCATGCTAAATGCACTTTTGTACGTCTTTTATACATGAATATGTGTCCCCGGTGTTCCAGGGAACTCACCAAGTGTCAGAAAACACAACCCTCTCTATTTTCCTCCATACCCAAATCTCTAAAAAAGGGGCTGCAACGGATCTGATAAAAACTGATCCAGATTTGAACACTGTCCTGACGTCAGGACAGTGGCGCTACGGCTATTGGGCCAACTCCACCAATCAGGAGGAGACAGCCACGGCCATTGCCGTTCGAAAGCACTGGAGACGCTGTAGTACATATGCCAGGCCTCTAGATGGTGCTGTTCTCACTGAATCTGCCCAGAGCTAGAAATTGTCAAATTGAGCAAAATGAGGCATGGCTAAAATGCATGATCTGTTTGGTATTTTGAAAAAAAAAATTATAAATATGCCTTATATAGGTATGGTCCTACACTATATTATTCAAATATAGCATGATAGGTCCACTTTAACTTACATCAAAGCCATAAAGGCAAGCAATCAACCTACACCAGGTGAGAGAATAGAGAATGACTGGACTTGACGATAAATTGAAGTGACAAATTGTCTGACGATCTGCCTACAGGAAGTAGGAGTTGTTGACAGGACTGCCGGCTGTCCCAATCTGTCAGATGATATTGACCCTCGAGTGCGATAAGACTTGACGGCTATCATAAAAAAGCAGCAGATGTTGTAATAGACCCTTAAAGCTGATAAGGCATCGAGAGCTGAACCGATGAAAGGTTTTCTATACTGATCCTCAAGAGCTGTTACTGTAAGATGATTCAGAGCTACACTTGTCATTTTCTGTCACACTGGTACATTTAACAAAATCCTCTCAGGTATTGTGAACTCAAAGAGAAACTGAATACTTGTGTCTTGCATAAAACACGTCTGTGTACTGTCTATTTTATCATCAATAGAAAAGTATGTGGTGCTGACAGATATGTGTGGGTAAAGCCATTAATTAAGACTGATTGTGTTCATTATCGATTAATCGGCCACCCTTTTTTTCAATAATCAATAATTATTATACAGTTAAAGATGACAAAGATAAGAGGATGGAATCAGAGGATACAGGAATTGTTCAGCTTGAAGAATAATTGAAACAGTAAATCAATTTTGAATATACAGTAGTTGCCTATTGTGTTTCTGATCAACCAATCAATTTATGGACTAATCGCTGCAGCTTAGTTCCTTTAGGGTTGATTTCAAAAGGCTCCACTGATGCACTTGGACTTAAATAGAGAGCTGTATTGAACAAAGCCTAACATAAAGAGCTGATCTGAATCAGAAGTTATTGATTTGACAGTAAAATTGGGTCCTTATGGGAAATTATCCAGAGTCAAAGCCTAAGCCATCCTCAATTGCCCCCCCATACCTCAGGCTATTGTTGGTCAAGTCTATATGTTTACTTTATGTTCCAGGTTAAATAAGGGTAGGTCAGGCACACTGTCCTCCAACTAGGATTTGCTGATGAATCCTTAAAAGCCCCTAGAGCTGATATCTGCCCTTTGACCTCCCTGGACATTGGCGTAAGAAAGGAAATGTCCCCTGTGGTTCTCACTAAAGCTTGGTGTTTTTTGTTGCATTGCGAGGACCAACTAGAATGCTGATGGAATCTGGCAGAGACAGCTTTGGACTGTTTGCCTTGAAAATATTACAAGCTTTCAAACTTTGATCCAGGTTCTTATTTGGGGTACAAATATCACATTTCTGACAAGATGGACAAACAAAAAGATATCCACCAGCAGCCTGTCTGCACACGCAGGCCGGCTACTATTTTCAGAAAAATGCAGACCTACAGTACTGTGAAAGCCAGAAATATTACATTGCGTGTGTGTGTTTGTGTGTGTTTGTGTGTGTGTCTCAACAGGGCCTTAGCATGGGGTGAAGAGGACTATCCCCTGCTGACCTCAATGCAGATGACCAGTGATGGCCACAGAATCACCTCTACAGTAAGTCATACATTAAAATAAAACATGTATGAAACGATTAACCAGTTTACAACATTTATTTTATTAATAAATATTGTTATAAATACATTTTTTCTTTCTAAAATTTCATAAATATACCTAATTAATATGGGTAAAACGATTACAGTACATCCCCGGCGTGTCGTTCCCTCTCTCTTTCAAAATAATAGCTTTATTTGTTTGTTTTTGTATTTCTTCAGTTTGTTGGATGACCTCATAAACACAGGACAACAACAGCAGGAACAGCAGCAGGAATTCCTGATTTCGCTGGAGTCGATTATTCTCACCATATTTCTCTCCATTATTATTATAATGACAGTGTGTGGCAATCTGCTAGTCATGGTGGCACTGTGCAAGGACAGACATCTACGGTGAGCTGTTTATTAAATGTATTTTGGAAGCAGCAACAGTTTTCAAAACTGGCTAAAAAAAGTGTCTATCTGCAAAAAACAAACCCTTTCAAGGTTCTCCCTGTAATTATGACAACTGACGATGCCTGATTATAATGACTATTTTTGCTGCCATGGAATACCTACCTTATGCAAATGTAATGTCTTTCAATAGCTGTAAAGAAAGAAATTGATCGTCAAATTTGTAGCTGACGTTTAAGTTAGATGTGAACAAAAACAAGGCATTTCTTTCCCGCTATTTGCACTAAAAACACATCCAGCAGTGCTTAAAAAACTCAGCATTCAAACCAAATGTCAAAGCACTCACATTACAAAAATGCTATCCTGAAAAATGCATGTTGTCTAGACAGTGAGTGTTGTACCTCAGAAAAAAACAAGACTTGTCTTAGTCAACTTTAAAAAATGCATTTTAAGCTAAAAATTTGATCAAAACATCACAATGTACTGTCAAGGCATTCAACTTAAATGTTGCCTAAAAACCTACAAAATATTACACATCAGTCAGTCAGTCTTCATTTATAAATAGTTAAAGATTACCTTACCCATGAACTATTACTGAATACATTAAAGGTGGGGTAGGTAATTTTGGAGAAACCAGCTCGAGTGCGCTAAAATTTGAAAATACACAGCTGGAAAAAATCTGCCACTTCCTTACAGAGCCCCTCCTCCAACACACACGAACGTGCACATGACCAATGAGGGCACGAGATAAGTCTGTGCACAGATGGAAGGCTGACAGGCAGGTAGGCCATCCAGTTATTTTAGCCGGGCCGGCTAAAATGATTGGTCGTGCTTTTTACAGTACTACGGCTTCCACAGATTACATTTTTGTATGGATCTTTTGTCAAAGCACTTAAGATATTCATTGCTATCGGGATGTTAAGAGCATTCCATGGAATATAACAAAAAGTGTATCTCGAGCCGGTTTCTCAAACTTACCTACCCCACCTTTAATGGATAATGTTTTGTTGCTAATTTGTTGTGTCCCCCTGCCATCCTCTCAGAAAGAAGAAGACAAACTACTTCATTGTGTCTCTTGCATTTGCTGACTTGCTGGTTGCATTGTTGGTGATGCCATTCGCTGCTATTGAGCTGATTACCGGCGAGTGGCGATACGGAGAGATCTTCTGCCTGGTGCGAACGTCTCTGGACGTCCTGTTGACTACAGCGTCCATCCTGCACCTCTGCTGCATTGCGCTTGACAGGTTTGTGTGTGTGTGTGTGGGTGCTTGTCTCGAAGACAGGGACCCCCAAAAAGACAGTACATATTTTTGAAAAAGACTCTCTTGGAACTACTTCAACGTGTGTGTGTGTGTGTGTGTGTGTGTGTGTGTGTGTGGTGTGTGTGTGTGTGTGTGTGTGTGTGTGGTGTGTGTGTGTGTGTGTGTGTGTGTGTGTGTGTGTGTGTGTGTGTGTGTGTGTGTGTGTGTGTGTGTGTGTGTGTGTGTGTGTGTGTGTGTGATTCCAGGTACTACGCTATCTGCTGCCAGCCTCTAGTCTACAGACACAAGATGACCCCGGTCAGAGTGGCAGTGATGCTCAGCGGCTGTTGGTTCATCCCCATATTCATCTCCTTTCTACCCATAATGCAAAGCTGGAACGCTATCGGCATCGAGGACATTGTAAGTCCTTAGCTAAGATCAGAAATATTCTTGTTATTAAAATCTTGCATCAACAAAATATACTTTATGTTCCAAATAGTTTTTTTTAATAGTATCAAGAGCTCATATAACTCTTTCAAATACATGAAGAGATACTTTTTTTTCTGTGAGGGCAAATGCAGCACAAACCTTTCCAATCTAATATTCTCTGTTTTCTAATAACATTGTCCAATGACACGGTAATGCAGCGATCACAAAACAATTCCAGTCCCTGTGGAGGCTCTCTTGCTGCGAGCAAAGACAGCACTTCAACAAGCATTTCCTGCTGGTTCGGATATGTTTTGGCGTGAGGTTATTTCAGAGCTGCCTTGAAATGAGCTGCAGGACTCCCAGAGGCACAGGGGGATAGATGAATTTATTTAGCCAGAGTTAATGAAATACACTGCCCTTTTCTCATTTTTTCAGTCAGGCAGCATCGAAAAAAACAATCATTTGTTTTACAAAAGCTGGATGGATGTCTGCAGACACAATTGCGCAACACTAAATATAACTTATGTCTGCATATTCAGGACCGATTTGAATTGTTTGTTTTGAATGTGTTTTGTCCGTTTATTTCTTCTTTGTTCTCATATTTCGTGAAACAAAAAATCCATTGCACCCTTGTTCTGCCCCAAAAAGGATTTGTTTGAATTGAAACTGCGTTTTTACGCCAGCTGATACAAAGCCACAAGAAGTTAAACGATATGGTAGACACAGTATGTGTGTGTGAACTGAGATGCTCCATTTCCACTGAGGAAAACATTAATTTCTGGTGATATGGTGATGTGAAACTGTATGTTCTTGGCTCTTTATGTGTATTAAATGTTCCTAAATTAGGATTTTACATGTTGTGTATACCTAGAGTGTTTCATGTACATGCAGACTAAGGTAGCTCATCAGTACCAATGCCAATATATTACACAAGGCGATAAGATAAAATGACCTTTTCAGCTTTAGATACCTACACTTTAATGTGACTCGCTCAAAATTTCCATTAGGACAAAGATATATACATACAATCAGTATTCGTTCAGAATAGCACATTATATTTTTCTTTAGCCTAATTTAGCAACACCTTACAAATTAACAGGTAAATATAGTCTCAAACTGGTCTTTATGCTATGCTAGGCTAACTGCCTCTCAGCTCCATCTCTACACTCACAGGCAAGATTAGCATTATTAATCCTTGACTGCAGGTCATAATGTCATAGTAATGACATTATTTGGCACTCAAGTGGCATTGAAATGGTCAGAATATCTTGTTGTAACATTGGGATGATTGTTTGTCTGTATCTTCCCAACTTTCCCAGATTGAGGAGAGAAAAGGCTTGGCTGGAGCCTCCAATGACACAAGTTGTGTGTTTCTGGTGAACCGGCCGTACGCCCTGATCTGCTCTGCGGTGGCCTTTTATGTCCCGTTGGCCCTTATGGTCCTGGCCTACCAGCGGATCTACGTCACCGCCATGACTCATGTACGGCAGATTGAGACACTACAGCGAGCCGGCTCTGCCCCTGTGAGCGGACCGACTCCGATGATCACAGTGAGGTCCTCCACTTCCTCAGACCCTACGGATCACTACCGCCTCAGGACAACAAGGGCCCTCTCCCCTTCAGAGCAGGCCCCCATAGCAAATAGCCGCATGCGCGTTGAGACCAAGGCGGCAAAGACGCTGGCGGTTATAATGGGTTGTTTCTGCCTGTGTTGGGCACCGTTCTTCATCACCAACATAGTGGACCCCTTCATCCATTACTCAGTGCCCTGGCAGCTATGGACAGCCTGGCTGTGGCTCGGGTACATTAACTCAGGGTTGAACCCTTTCCTGTACGCCTTTCTGAACCGGGCGTTTCGGAGAGCCTTTCTGGTGATCCTCTGCTGTGGGGATGAGCGGTACGCACGACAGGGGAGCTGCTCCTATGGACAGGTCCACAGAGTGTGCTCTGCTGCATCGGTCAACGGAACGTCAATGGCACTAAGGTAAACACACGGTAAAGGCACATTTGCAGCAGTTTTGAATATTTGAGTGTGAATGTGTGTGCTGTCCTGCCTTCAACTGTGTAAAAGGTCCATCAAAGTAAACTGTGCAGACTGAGAGCAAGTGGGTTGATGTCTGTTTTTGTATTTATTTATATGTCTTTGATGCACTTCAGTGTAAAAATTAAAAACGTGATGGATTGGATTGTTATTTAACACAACCGGATACAAGCAACATTTTGTTCACTTGCAGCTTTTTCAAAAGTTAGGCCCAACTGTTGCTGCAGCATTGTACCATTGCTCTGTTGACTATCACAGCTTGGTGCAACCTTCATCTTATTTGAATTAAGTCATAATTTCTCATTTAGGTGCATGTGTTGGCCCAATGTGTAATTGTTAGATATGAACATGCCGTGCCTTCACTAGGAAAATATATTCATGGTCAAAGCAGCTGTGGTGTTCTGCAGATGGAACATTTTACCATAAAAAATGTCCTGGACTCAGACTTGTTAAAAATGAATTAAATAGTCAAATCAGCCAGTTTTCAGCATAGTGTGAACTCATACTGTATATATGAGGTCTGCTCTTGAGCTATGTCATATGCGTTTCTTTTTGTTATTTCCGATTAGGAAATATACAAAAAATGTAAGCTTTGTTCCAGTTGTTGGCACAGATTCAGAATATGTTGTGTACATAGATGTACAGCAATGAGGAAGCTGGGAAGGTAGATGGAAACATTTGTGAGCACATACAGTAACAACGGCATGTAGCAGGAGGGAGTCACAATAATCAGAATCAAAGGGGCTGACAGTGAAAGTAGGTAAGATCCTAAGGATTGCCTTGTTCTAACAATTGTAATCATACCTTACTAAGAGTTTAATTGTGTTGATGAGTATGGCTTTAGCAAAGGCAAAAGCCAGTTTGGAAAGGTTGGTGCATTGATGAAAGTGAGATTGGGACAATGGAAACAGATTTAGCAAAGAATTGTTGAGCATGGAATTTTCCACTTTATTTTAGACCCTCAGAGGTTCATCTGACTTTCTTGACCAATTTTGTCAGCTTGTAAACATTTTTAAATGGGCAATACATTTGGATGAAAACCAGTTCGGCTCAAAGTGAAACGTCTCAACAACTAGCTCACTCAATGGAATGCAATCATATTTTAATTATAAGTATAACTTCTGAGATGCCCCGACTTTTCTTCTGGCGTCGTCACCAGGTCAAATATTTTATGTGTTCACTTTGGTACTTTGGTTTTGGACTTACAGCTGCTCTGTGTTCAGTGATGAATAGCTGATGTTAGCACGCTTAAATGCTAGACTAACACAGTTAACATGGTCAAGTCGTTTTTTATACAAGCAAGTGTTACACAGAGCCTTAACCTCATATCCAGGAAACAGACGTGGGTCATAATAATCTTGTGTGTATAATAGTAATGATGTTATCGGCTAAAAAGTTCACATAGACGCAGATATACGGGAATTTTTGTTTTAACTATCATATCTTAATCATATCATATTGTTACACTATAGAGTGCCACAGTGACGCGTCCTAAAACCCGGACGTAAACTCCTTCCGGTTCCTTCGACAAAAACGCAATGCAATTTCTCCATAGAATTTTGGAAAATAGTCTGTGGGTGACACACAATTAAGAGACGGATCATGTTTTGTTCAGCCGGATAATCTCCACATGTCTACCCTACTTTTATAATTTTCGAATCATAAATCTAGTCGCCAGAAGCAAAATGCTAACGTTATGCTACAAACGAACTACAGCGGGTTGCTGCTTCAACGTCACGCCAACTTAAGATCCATATTCAAAACTACAGATTCAAAATTGTACAAGTTGAAGCGTTTGTTTTAACAGTTTGCAGGAGGCAGGTACTTGCTTTCAAGCAGAACACGGGGAAAAACAAACTTAGCGGGAGTGTTTACGTGTTCGGTGTAATGATGTAAAACGGCCTCGACAACTTCTGTAGTCCTATTCAGCCACTTGTTAACAACCATCGTTTTTCAGACACGTAAACTCTTCAAAAATCACCAGTGGGGTCACTGCTGATGTATTTAATGTCGTAGAACAAAACGTGATCCGTCTCTTAAATGTGTGTCAACCACAGACCTTATTTCCAGCTATTTTCCAAAATCCTATGGAGAAATTGCATTGCTTTTTTGTCGAAGGAACTGGAATTGGTAAAATGCTAACTTACTTCCGGGTTTTAGGACGCGTCACTGTGGCACTCTATAAGGATGTCAGGAACTACAAATAGGCCTATGTCCTATGACTTTATTGCCGTTGTATTTATTGCCTTGATAGAGCCATCAGTAATAAACTGACACCTACAGTACTCTTATGAAATGCTTGTTGACTTGAAAGTAAACTACATGTTGCTGTAAAATATATGAGTCATCTTAAGTCGTTCGTCTATGGAGCCGTAGAGTTTTCTTTCAATCTTTGAGCCATCTGAGTTGTGGAACAATTAATGGACTTCTGGGAGGAAAGATTGAACTTTACAGATCTTTGATTGAGTAAATGTACAATAGCCTTTTTAGTTATTTTCTCTACAGAAGGATTTCTGTTGACGTGAATGGTGGTGATTAAGTTGATGTCTGTGTTTGTGCTCTCCTTCCAATGGGGATGATGGAGGAGGTGACCTGCTTGTGTCTGCACTGTTTAACTTTAACACAAGTGCTCCACCATCGCAGAGAAACAGAGGGAATCACATACGCACTTACACAGACACACACACACACACACACACACACACACGCACACACGCACGCACACGCACACACACACACACACACAGCTGACCATTTTTTTATTTATTATACAAACTACATGGCATGTGAGGGAGACCTTCCGCTATGGTCTAAAAATGTGTATTTGCATGCATACACTTACTCAGTGCTATGTATGTAAGCAAGTCCATGTGTATGTCAGTTGAAAAAAAAGAAGGCTGATAGTTTGTCTTTGCTCTTTGTTGTTGTAATGTGTATAATGTGTGTATAGTCTTGTGTGTGTGTGTGTGTGTGTGTGTGTGTGTGTGTGTGTGTGTGTGTGTGTGTGTGTGTGTGTGTGTGTGTGTGTGTGTGAAGTGTGTGTGTGTGTGTGTGTGTGTGTGTGTGTGTGTGTGTGTGTGTGTGTGTGTGTGTGTGTGTGTGTGTGTGTGTGTGTGTGTGTGTGTGTGTGTGTGTGTGTGTGTGTGTGTGTGTGTGTGTGTGTTTCTGAGGTGTCTGTGGGATTTCTTTAGGGCTTTCTATCTTTGCGTGTATAGGAAACAGAAAGGCAAACAGTGTTAACTCCAATCTGATGTCCTCTCTTAAAATCTGTCTCAGACAAAAAACAGACTCAGACAATCAGATTACAGCTGGCAGGATACTGGAAACTGAAATTACTCAAGGAATCGTAAGTTATTTTGTCTTTGAGCTCTTGGGTATTAGACCCAGAATGTAGGCGGATGGAATCTGCTTTTGTGTTCACTGTGCTGTGGTAAAATCACCAAAAAGTGTATTTTTCATTCCTGTGTGTGCTTGTGGTAAAGTGCCAAAACATTGGACAGTTTGTTAGAGTAAAGGCCCTGACACATCAAGCAGTCACCAGAGAACTCGCCGACGCCGACGCCGACTGTTGCGTCGCCGTGTTCTCCTGCGTCTTGGCCATGTGTCGCACTGGAACACACCGCAAAGACTTCAGCCGAGCACGTACGAACTGCGCATGCGTGAGTGGCAATAACTCTCCTTACCAGCAGGCGGCGGTAGTGTGTATTCGTCATTCAAAAGAGGCAACAACCGGAAGAATTTCTGTCAAAATCAAAATCATATTTCATAGTATTTTTGAAATTTAGAATCAATGAGTAGTGTCATGCAAACCCACCAGAATGGTCATCCAAGATGAAAACATACAAAGCTGGTCATCTCTAGTTGCTCCAGTTTATGGCCAGTTTTAAGCTGCTAAATTCTTGAATATTTAATTGTAAACATTTGTGGCTAATTAATCACTATTCCTGCTCTGCTACCAAAATATGTTCACGTTAGCAACTTCATAGTTGTGATCTTTTACCACAATGAAAATCCTATGGCCGTTTCCCTTAGTAATCTTAACAACAAACACACACATTCACACATTGTCGACACTCCAGCTCCAGCAGTGGATAGTAGACACTTGTTTCTGATTGGAGTCATAACAAAGACGTTGTGTTGTGCCCACCAGTAGACAAAGTAAAAAAAAGCATCTCGAACATCTGAAATCGTTTAAGGCTGTTGAGTAAATACATCGTCCCTGGGGTCCTGTGACATAAGATTTTCAACTACATAATTACTCTGTAGCTATGTCAGATTGACAATAAAGAACCTTGAACCTTGAACCTTGAACCTTGAACCTTTTGTTGCTCCAGAAGATACTGTACAACTTCATGTGTTCACTCATATTGCCAATTTGACACTGAAACTGTGGACCAAATAACTCTTGATTTCCATTTGGTTAAACTCAAATGAATGTCTAGCTGAAGTTGAATCAACTGGATGGCTCCTTCTAAGGTAAAACACTCCAGACTGGAAAGATGTTTTACCCCTGTAAAAACCAAAACACCCTAATTCCATCCTTTAATTGTCTTATTAAGGGCTTAAAAAGAAAAACGCCACTTAGAGAGCAACTTAAACACCTGCGATTAAAGGTGAGGGTGCCGTTATATAATATTTCATAGTAACCAAAATAATCACAATTTATAAATACAGCCACAATCATGCAGCATTATTCTCTACTGCATTAGCCTTCTGCTAACAGTAGCCGTGAGCAGCCGTTAGCTAGCTACAGCCGTTAGCCTTTGGCTGCAATTAACAGGGGGCTAACGTTATTAGCAACATTTTTCTCTACATCTCTGAAATACTACGCCTGTATTGTCTGCCTCTTTTTTTTCTATATAAATCCTATTTCCTTTTTTGGGTTACTTTGCAGTGTATAGGCAGATCTTGCTAATGTTGACTTTATCATCTGAAGTGACGTC